GATTAAAAAAGTATAAAAAATATATATATATATATATATATATATATTTAGGCAAAGTTTGTCATCTTTTAAAAAAGTCAAAAAATCACTATTCTATTCAAGTCATATCATCTTATTTAAGTCACATCACCTCTCTACTATATCACTTCAAACCGTACTCATATTTCATAAAAAGTAAAAAGTATACTTATTTAGAATATCCTAAACAATCCCTTAATTAGTAGTAAAGCTTCATTTGGTTTTAAATTTTTAGTTAAAAAAGTACAAAAAGACAAAATTAACTACATAAGTTAATAAGATAAAATGGCATATCTAAATCATAATCATTATATTTTTTTCTCACAAAAGTAAAAAAAAAAATCAAAAAAATCAAACCAAACGAGGCTAAAAAAACTAATGCCAAACGAAAAGTAAATCTAAAATAATTTTACATTATTTTGTCTCACAGAGAATGTATTATTAATCAATACCACACTTGTTAACAAGACCAACAATAGATTTCACTTGTGATCTCTTTTAAAAGCTAGTAGAATGTAAGTAGAATATAGAGATGAAAATGTTAGTAGAATATAGAGAGATTTCAATGTGAATATAATTTTTTTTAGTATAATTAAGTAGTAATAAAAGTTTTTTTTGGCAAAAGAAGTTGGGATAAAAAAAGTAAAAAAAATAAGTAAAAAATTACATAGTTTGTAGTAGGGTCATAACCATTTCTTTTTTTTTCTCATAAACATCACATCCGACTATAAAAAAAATCCAACTATTTTTCCAAACACAACTTTTAGCCTCCTAAAATAGCCAAAAACTAAAATAGCCTACTAAAATAATAACTTCCCAAACACCCACATAATATTTTGTAGAGGTAGTATTATTGGACTGAGAAAGACAGCTCCCTATTAAAGGGTTTAGAGAGGATGTAGAAACCAAGCAATTTCACAGGGGAAATGCTATATACCACACTACCTTGCTACTAAATAACTTGGACTTAAGCTTTTGGGTATTGTTGGTCGACCCACAAGTTATTTGGGCCAGCAAGTAGTGGGGCGTTACAATTAAACAACAAATAAAGCCAATCCCTAAAGATATCTTCATGGCACTTCCAAACAAAATCAGACTCCAATCAAAATTGAGTGAATTCCTGTAACAAAGCTAATCATTTCAAGAACTTGACACATCTTAATCCAAGAAATTATTCATGAAACAAACACAAACACAGCCCTTTATTGGCCAAGAAATTGAGTGAAGCATCTTATTTCTTTCTTTCTTTCTTTTTTTTCCGGTTTTTTTTTTTTTTTTTTTAATGTAATTATTCATGAAACAAAACCATATAAGAAAAAATGTAGTGAAACCAAACTACAACCAAACTGCAAAATCATTTCACCAAATCCTCCAAACAACGCATTTCACCAAGTCAAGCTCACTACCAGAATTGTGCAAGTAAATAAGAAAAAACAAGATAGAATTGTGCAACAATACATACCAAAAAAAAATAAAAGACATGATAGAACAGCCCTTTATTGGTTTTGTTTCCTATGGTAAAACAACCCTTTTTGTCTTCACCAAATCATATATTTCCTAGGTTTCTTGCCAAACAGGATAGAAGATTTTTCAAACCCTTAGAAACACAAACACAAACACAGCCCTTACTGGCCAAAAACTGTATGATGTGTTGATTAATTCCCAAAAATTGTCTGATTTATTAATTAATCTATTTCATGAGATGAGAGAAAACAACTCAAAAAACATGAAGAAAGTGAGAGTGGGGGGACTGAGACCTTGCAGGGAAAAGAGGTGTTATCTGAATATGACGACAACCACCGAATCAACGAACAGCCGGTGAAGCAACGAAGAACCACCGAAGCAATGATGATGAATGGGTTCGAATACAACCACCGTGGCAAAGAAAGAGAGAGAAACAATGTTGATGAAATGGGTTTTGGGTGGTGATGGGAGAGTGAAATGTTTTGAAATGTTTTCAACTTTCAAGCTATATCGAACGATGAAGATAAAAAGACAGTAAATCTGAAATGAACAATCTCAACCTTTAAATCCATAAGATAGATGTTCCATCCGGATTCAAACCCACTTCAATTAAACTAATGTAGAACAATGCAACTCTCAACAACCAATTCGAAAGACTTTTGCTTGAACAGTATGATACTGTGAACGGCCTATTCGTGAATTTTATAATTCTGTTAAGGGCCTATTCGTTGAAATAGAAAAATGAAATGTGATTTAGATTTGAATGAGACAAATAATAATAATAATAATTAGTTGATAATTGTAAGAAAAAATTAATAAACCAGACTTATAAATTTGATTTTCATAAACCCAATTTGATTTTAATAAACCCAAATAATGATCAATCACAAACTATAAACATCAAACACAATGTTTCAATCACAAACTGGACAATGTTTCAATCACAAATTGGACAATGTTTTAATGTTTCACCGAATCAATGTTTCAATGTTTCAATCACAAATTGGACAAACCTTTTGATTACTGAAATTAAAGATTATTGATTATTGAAATTAAAGATTAGAGTAAAGATATCCAAAGATAGAACAAATAACCAACAAAGTATAAATACTAAAGAAAAAGCCCAGGTTTGCTCACCTGAACAGTATGTATTCCAGATTATTCCTTTGTTGAATACCCTTGTTCCCTTTTGCAATCCCCTTGTTCCCCTTGTGCAACGGCTCCATCGTCAATATTCAAGGGGGTTTGGGCTGCCACTGTTGGGATAGCGGAGAGAGGGAGGGAGGAAGAGAGAAGATGAAAAGAGTAATAGGGGGTTTGGGGTTCGGCCGCCGGCAAGGGTTGGGCGGAATGGGCTCCGATGGAGGTAGAGAGAGAGAGGGGGTGCCATCGTCAATATTCAATGGTGTTTGGGGCTGCCACTGTTGATGAAGATTGTGATGCGGAGAGAGGGAGGGAGGAAAGGAAGATGAAGAGAGGGAATAGCTCCGACAAAGAATGGGCTTCGATGGAGAGAGAGAGGGTGTATGTTTTCAAAATTTGAAATCATCAGAAAGAGATAAATGGGAGAGACAAACGGGAGTGAGAGAGAGAGAGAGAGAGAGAGATTGGGTGTGTGTTGAAAATGAGAGGGACAAATGGGAGTGAGATATTTTGAGCCCTTAGATTAAATCAATCTAATGGTCTAAATTTTGACACAGGGACAGAAGTCGCATCCGGATTCAAAATGGAAAAGGTAGGTGAAATGTGAAAAAAATATACCTACATTTCACATAATTTCACACACTTTTTTTCTTTCCCTTTCCAAATCCCTCCCCAAATCTCCTAATTAAACACAGCGTAAGTGTTACATATCATCTTCAATCGATAACCCCATATATCTAATCTGGACAATCAAACAGGGCCTAAGAGTTAAAAACAAGTTTAAGAATATGTAAAAAAGCAATTTCCAAACGCCACCTTAGCTATTGATGGTCGGGGTTTAATTCTTGAGTACCAAAATGCAATCTACTTGCATTGTCAAAACATATAATGTTTTTGACCAGAACACAACTGCAGGCAATCTCATGGATGCAGCAACCAACTCAGAAACTCCACAAGATACTCTATATGAAGAAATTAAATCCTTCTTTGACTCAGCACCTCCTCTAAAAGATGGTCCTGGTATCAGTAAGAAATTAAATGAATTTATCGAGAGGAATTCTAAGTCAACAGGCAAGTTTATTTCTATTTAGCTATTATTGGCTTGATTGCTTTGTTCCCTGTCTGTATAATTTGGTCTGTTCAATGTTTGAAATGTATTTTCAGGAGGCGAAGGAACTGGCAGGGTCGTCTGTGTGACATCTGGTGGTACAACAGTTCCTTTGGAGAAAAGATGTGTACGCTATATTGATAATTTTAGTTCAGGTCATAGAGGAGCAGCATCCACAGAGTAACCACACTATCTTACTATTACAAAGTATTATCTAACATTCTAAGTTTTAGTCCTGTTATGACCAGATGAATTTTATCATTAATTACAGGTATTTTTTGAAGGCTGGATATTCCGTTATCTTTCTCTACCGTAGGTGAATACTCTCCTTGTGTTAAGCCCCCTTTCTTTATCACCTTTTAATGAGTACATCTAACCATAGAATGGAAAAAAGAAAAAGAATTCGGTTTGTCATTTTTCTCTTCCAGTCACCCAAAGATGTTTTTTTCTGTCATTTTTCCCTTCCATTCACCCAAAGATTTTTTTTTTTGGGTCCCCAAGAATGTCTTCTATACATTTCTGCTATAGTCAATAATGTAGGGCTAGTTATGCAGGGGTTCCTGCCAGCCTTTTTGTGGATCTCTTCCAGAAGATCCATTGCTTGAATGTTTTGAGGTCAGCGAGGAGCTTAATATTCAAGGTCTGTTGTTTCTGAATCTCTTGGTTGCGATAATTCATATGTAGTTTTCTTTTGGGCAAGTATAACATGTTCACCAAAAAAACACCAAACATGCAACATCATGACACAGGAGCAATATAACTTATCATGCAGGCCTGTCCTATAACATATAACGTAACTCCAATGCTTGATGTCCTTTTTCTGATCAACAATGAAGGGGAAAAAAAAAAAATCCACAATATCTTTCATGGATGGTTAACAATCTCGAGATTTTAATTGTGCATTACTTGGGTATTTTATTGTAGAGATGGATATTTTTTTCCTTTTTTCTTTTCTTTCCCCACTAGCAGATGTTAGGGGAAGGAGGTCAATGTTTCTGATATTGTTTACTGGTAGCTTCATTATAGAAGCATTTTGTTGACTTTCTCATGACTAATTTAATGATTTGAGTGTAATAAATTCGCCACTAATAGTTCTGAGTGAAATGATTAGACTTTGTTTCATATTTCAGTGCACCAGTCACATTCTGAAGCAGTGAAGAGAGCCATCGGTGAACATTGTGTTGTATGGACAATCACAATGCTTTTAGTTACTTTTAATGTTTCCAGTGCATTGGTATAAGGTTAGCTTGGTAAACAGTGAACCATTTGGAGATTTCATTTTATTGCAGGCAGTAGAGGGAGGCCTCTTGTTGAAACTTCCCTTCACTACCATATTTGAGTATCTTCAGGTAAGCTTCATTTGATCATTTTACTTGTTTTTTTTTGAAAATCTTGACTAATGCTCTGATTGGCAGTGTAGAAATTTCATATTCAGCTTAGGAACTACTAACAGATGAATTATCTTGGAGGATCAATTCAGATGAACTACCCATCACCATTAGCTTCAGGAATTTTAGAACTTCCTTTTTCCTCAGCATTCCCAAAAGCCACAATTGCCTTTTGTTCTCTTGGTTCAAACAAGTAGTGTTTGAATGGGGAGCATCATTATTGTAGTATATCTTTCACAAAGTTTTCCGTTGATTTTTGTTTCCATGTATGTACCGTTGTGCAAATTTAATAGTCTGGTTTCATGCATGCAGTTTCAACTTGACATTTGTTTTCAATGGATAGCTTGAGTTATTATATGCTTATTGCAGCCTAGACCCTGACTCTCCATACTTATTGCTGCTTTACTCAATTCCATGGAACAATTATTTCAATATTTCATCTCTGCATCATGAGCAGATTTTACAGCTGATTGCAATGTCAATGAGGAATCTTCAGACACGCGCAATGTTTTATCTTGCAGCTGCTGCATCTGACTTCTATGTTCCATGGAAGAGTATGGTAACGTTTAATTTTATTGAAATGTTGTGATTTTTCCTTTTATTGTTCAGAATTTGGTACTTGATATATTTTGGTGGCGGTTCATGAAAACTTGCTGCTTGTGTTTGGAGCTTAAGGAAGTTGAGAACTCTTGTCATGGTAATTGGGATCGTCACTATGTGTGGTGTACCTTTTAGGAGAATAATTTAGGTTTTGCACATCTGTTCATCTCATTCACACTTGTGCACTATATGATGATACACACCTCATCTAATAGCTTTATCCTTTTCCTTGATTTTTCTGTAGCTTATGTAAATGGAATCTGAGGCTGCTTTATAAGGCAATAGGAAGTAGATCCAGGAAACAACAAGCTTAAGCAAAGAAAATTGATAACGATTTCAAATTTGTTTGTTGGGGCTTTTGTCATTTGCTATCATATATAATCTCTACTTAAAATTAGTAACCATATATGAAGATCACTCATGATACACAGAGACATCCAACCTTGTTTGTCATGAAACTGGAAAACATAGTTTAGTGTTTGAGTTAGGCCTCGTTTGGAAACAGGTTTTTTAGTAACTTTTTGGTTTTTTGGCTAAAATGTGATGTAAAAAAAACTAGTATGTTTGGGATGACTTTTTAGCTTTTTACGAAAATATGTGCAAAAAGTAGAGAGAAAATGGAATCTTTAGCTTTTTGGTATGGGTTGTTGACTTTTTAGTTTTTTTAATAACTTTTTAGCTAAAAGGGACACTTGCCAAATGAGACCTTAGTGTCATTTCAGCTGGTGCTTTTCTAAATGTTGAATAGGTGGAACATAAAATTCAGTCTGCATCTGGTCCTTTGGATATGCAACTTGTTCAAGTCCCAAAGACGCTGTCCGTGTTGAGAAATGATTGGGCTCCCATGGCCTTCTTCATATCATTCAAGATTAGATATTTTATCCTAATTGTTTAGATGAAAATTGCTACATGATTTACCTGCACTATTAATATATATATACAATGTATTTATGAAAACATTAAAATTTGCTAGCACTTGTTTATGCATATATGCACTTGTAAATATCCACTTTTGCTAGTCTGACTCTGGGATACATTCACCTCTCTCTCTCTCTCTCTCTCCAGCTAGAGACAGATTCCAATATTCTTCTACAGAAGGCTGACATGGCCCTTAAAAAGTACAAGATGCATGTGGTAGTGGCAAATGAGCTTTCAACACGTAAAGAGAAGGTTGTAGTTGTCACGAGCAGTGAAAAGATTTCAGTTCTTCGAGACTCCACTGAAGCTGATGCTGACATAGAAAACCCATTGATCAAACTCCTTGTGGAGAAACATTCATCTTACGTTGAAGATTCAAATTCTTGATTGCTTACAACGCCAGATATGTGACAAATAGATCAAAAGTGTTCAAATTATGCTCCCTGACAACAAAATTTTTAAAGGTCTGATAAGAGCTGTGTCGTCTAACTTCATTTTTGTCATAACTGCAAGCGAAGTCTTCTATTATAATGTAATCTGCAACATTGAGGCAGCTTTTTGTTGTTATCTTGATAGAAATATTTTGAAGAGATTGGAAAGAAATACTATAATTTCTTCCTTTTATATGGAAGAATTTGGACTTTCATGTGTGAAGGGTCGCTTTCATTCCTTTCTATATTGAATCTGTGAACAATATTATGTACAACTTCTTTTTTCTAATATCCAATTAAATAAAAGAAAGTACTTGTATAAGAGAGACAGAGAGACCTAATATGTGCAACAATATTATGTACAATTTTTTTCTAATATCCAATTAAATAAAAGAAAGTATTTGTATAAGAGAGACAGAGAGACCCAATATGTGCATGATCAATTGATCACCTACACAGCCTCATCATCATCTGTTTCAAGCTCGAGGCCCTCTGCAGCAAGAAGCTGGCCAATCACCTTTTTCTTTTCTTCTTCTGCTTTCTTTCTCATTAAATCCCTCTTTCGTAAGACAAGCGTATGCCGCTTAAGGGTGCTGTTGAAATTCTCCAACGATGCTTTCTTTTCTTTCGCCAGAATCTTCCTTTCTTCTTCAGGATCAATCTGAAATTCCATCCCAGAACATAAACATCTACGAAACATGTCCCAAGAATCAAATCCAGTTATTTCGTGGAAAACAGCCAAAAGGAGAGTTTGATTAAAGCATTTAGACAGCATTCGCTCTATTTGGCTGTGTGTATATATATATATATTTTACTTATAAAAAAATAAAAATAAAATAAAATAAAATAACATTTGAAAATTGTTACCGAAAATTTTCTGAAACAACCCACCTTTGTTTTCTTAAAACACAAAAATGAAAACAAAAATAAAAAATGGAACATATTTTTTTTTTTCTAATTTCAAAAAAACAAAAACCAAAAAACGAAAACATAATCAACCAGAGTGATTATTATCACTCTCTCTCTCTCTCTCTCTCTATATATATATATATATGTCATATTAACCCATTCTATAGATCCAAATGTAATGCTTCCCAATCTATTATGTCATAATTTCAGTATATACAAATTCTGGAAAATAATTATGCACAATGAGTCGGATTATATTAGGTAATGGACTTTCCATAGATCATTATGGAGTTGAAGAGCAATATACGAATCATTGTAGAAATATTGAGAATAATTCAACACCTTTGAACGAGAAAGACGGCGCACGCGGAGATTAATCTCACGCTGCTGCTGCTCAGCCCAAGCTGCAACAGCCATATCACCCCGCTGGTCAAAAGCTTTGCGCTTTTTCATAAGCCACTCCATCCATGCTTGAGATGCCTGACAAACATAGCCATAAACACAACAAAATGAGAAACTACTAAGAGATGAAGGAAAACATTTAATTTAAGAAAGTTTTCTACAAGAAGAAATTCATCCCTCCAAAGAATCTACACTTCAAATGTGTGGGAGTTAGACGTATGTGTTTTGTTAAACTTAAAATTATGATCCGAAATCGACAAACTTTTGACTAAATAGAGGCAACAAGAAAAACTCAATATACAGGTTCAGTGGAGAAATAAATAACTCAGATCACTTCGGTCAAGATCTCAACTTATCATATGACCTTCAAGCAGTACCAGATCCATGTGAAGTGAGGTGCCCAGAGGAGAAAGAAATAAGCTAACAAACTATGACAGGGCCTTCCATCACAACTCCCAGCTCCATAATAATCTCACAGCTTAAAGTGAATCAAATAAAATATTGAAAGCAGTAACTGTTTCAATTGAAAACATGCCACCATAATATTCAGAGAAAACAACCATCAAGAACTTGAAATTAAAAAGAACATGAAGAAAGAATTTGTACAGATGACACCAAATGGAAGATGCTGCATCTTGCATTTAATTATATCAAAGCACAAACACCTATTTACGGAAAGCTTTCCAACACAAAAGGAACAAATTAGGAATTTTACAAGCACACTGTGGACTTTGTCTTTGAGTAATTAAGGTTTTGGCATAAATTTGATCCTTATACACATTTTGAATTAGTATGAGTTGCCAGAGAAAATCTCATATTTCGCATCATAATGTACTCTGTCGAAAGATGATAAATCTATTTGAGAAAATCACTGGCATTTCTTGCTATTCCATTTATTTGTTGGTCATTCTTTGTTCGATTTGTTTTTGTTTATTTGTTTATTTTTTTGTCCATGTTAATATAGAGGTAGTTGATATCCTTTCGTACCAAAGAAAAAAGATTATCATAGAGTGGATGGTATATAAAGATTTTCAAAGTGAGAATTGATTTTGCAGCACCCTTTGTGTCATGCTTCATTTTGTTTTATTCATTTTTCAATTTCATTTTTTATTTTGGCATACAATTTTCACAAATAGACACAAACGGCTAGTGTCAAAAAATCCCTACATTTTCCCCAACAAAATTCAAAATCGAAACTTTGCAACTCATAATAAAATATGATATTAACTGTTAAAATAATCAAAATTTCACCTTCATGGGGTTGACTCGATTATCAATATCATATTGCCTTCGCTTCTCCACATCCATGAGCAGTTCATAAGCTGCTTGAATCTTGATGAATCGAGCTTCAGCTGTTTCCCCTTCCTCAAGGGTCCCCTTACCATCATATACTTAGGACAGAAGAAAGGATCAGTTTCATGTCTGTGACCAGATGCTAACTTTTCAACATGGATAGATAACAGAAATTGATTGTTACTTTCATAAAAGGATGAAATTCCCAAAGTGTTAGGATAAATAAACTATTGTGGCAGATTATACAAAATAAGATTTCCAGAAAAACTAGATGCTACTAATTCATGGTTCAAAGTTACAACAGTATCCAATACTGAGTTGAGCTGGTGTCCACGTCGCACAACCGTTCTCTTCTATTCTTATATGGTACATATTAACTACTGTGGCTTAGTCACTGTCCTACGAACCAGAAACACAACATACAAGGTGTTTTATAAGGATAAGTGATGAAAGCAAAACCGTCGACAGTTTTTGATGAATTGAATTTGGAGTTATGAAGGTATATTTGGATGGCCAATGTGATCTAGATTCATAGCTCAGGTGGTGAAATCTAAATATGGGTTGAGCAATATTCATAGCAAAGTTCAACTGCTCAACCCCAACCACCACTAGTAGTTGTGCAAATAGAGGGCCCAAACTTATTTATATTAAGGCCCCGTTTGGGAACAGGCTAATTTACTAACTTTTTTGCTATTTAGCTAAAACATGAGCTAAAAAAAACTAGTATGTTTGGGATGACTTTTTGACTTTTTACGAAAAGATGTGCCAAAAGTAGAGAGACAAGAAAATCTTTGACTTTTTGGTATGAGTTATTTGCTTTTTGGCTAATTTAGTAACTTTTTGACTTTTTGACTAAAATGGAAGGTTCCCAAACGAGGCCTAAAATCATATCTTTTCAATTTATTCAGGGCCTCGGGAAAGGGTATCTATATCCACGTATATCAGTCATAAAGTACAAGACAGTAACATTTAGCCATTACATGAGTAATAACAATATGCATGTATTCATATAATTTATACAATGGGACAAGAAACTGAAAAGTCATGATTATGTTTATACAGGAATATATATCAGAAAGAAAAAATAATAATAATCAGCACAAGAGTCAGCAAAATTACATGGATTCAAACTGTGAAAAGAACTTACATAAGGCACAACATAGTATGGCTTGAGTACAAGTTAAGGGCCAGATATGATAGGTGTCAAGTATGAAATGAGCATGCATGTTTGACAAAAGAAAGCGACAAGAATTTCTTTGCTAGAAGTTTCAAAGCATGCTCTCTTAATATTCCTCTGTTTTTTATAAATATTTCATATGACTGAAACTTCCTTGCTTCTCTTTGTCGTATAAAGATGATTTGATGACTTATATTGTGTGTGTCCCCATGTAAAGTCATTTGGAAGCTAGATGGATCTAATGTCTATGCAGACACTGAAACCTGGAATGATTGATCATACAAGTCCAATCGACATAGACACCAGCCGTTTTGGCGAAATAGAGGCTATCCTGAACTGATATTAGGCCGTTTCCCTTTCATATGATTTTTTTTTTTTTTGGGTGCAACCTTTCATGTGAATTGCATCCTATTTAATGGGCAGAAATTCCTAACAGAGAGAATGATAGAGGCAGCTAAGTGGTCTTGACATTGTATATCCTCATACATTTCCAATTTTCCTGCTTATAATTAAGAACAATCTCCCACCATATTAGGATGCAACATGGCATTAAAAGAATGATGACAACAAAGAGGAAGAGAAAGGGTTTCCTTCAAAAAGCAATTTAGGGATCACCTAAACAGCAAATACAATATCTAACATGGTTTCACGAAAATTAGGACTACAATGCAAAGAAAGATACTTTACCCCAAAGTGTACCAGAAGTGTTATTCATTTATTTATTTATTATTGCCGACATTAATATGCCTTAATTTTTCATATCTAGAATACAAGAGCAAAGCCATTGAAGACACCCATTGGCTAAAAAAAATAAAAATAAAAATTGTGTATCCACAGTTCATAAGGTATTAACACCTTAAACATTCTAATCCAATGATTTATTACACTTAGAAACTTGTAAGAACTGAAATGAAGAGCATACCATCTGGATGGTAGAACTTGGCCAAACGTCTATAAGCTAACTTTATGTTCTCTTCATCAGCATCCCTTTCCAACTCTGCATTTGTAAGCAAAACATTAGATACTGTAAATTACTCATCATTACTAATGAAATAAAGTAAAATAGGAGACAGTAAAGAGCATGTCTCGTACTTAATTAGATAAAAGTATAAAAATTTTCTACTAATACATCTTAAACAGGCATACACACATGCAACAAGTTCAATTCAACTTTGACATAGAATGTACATTGCTACAAAATGTTCTTTACTTCTTTGACACAAATACTGGTAATACTTTTATTAGAAATATTCGATAACAAGAGTGGACAGAACCAGCTACAATAATAATAAAAATAATGATCATAATAAAAACATTACAATTATTATAAATGTTATTCTATTTTGATATTTTATTTTAAACTTTTAGTTTGGACTATGTTTTTGATCAGTTTGGTTCACCTAGCTATGGCCTAATCATTCCTCGCATAACAAGTTCTAGCTTACGCCATAGAAAGCATCCCCTGGGAAAGCTTTAGGGTCTGGTGATCGGCGTTAAAAAATAATAACAAAACAAAAATGTTACCCTTTTTCAGTCATCTTTTTATTTGATAAATAACGTGGAGTTAGGTGGCAATACACATAAGTATACATTGTTTTTTAAAATTTCATTTGAATTGCATACATATCATATCACATATACCCCATCACAAGTGGGGCTAATGATTAAGGGTGGAAAAATACAACATGCTGGAAAAGAAATATACTTTGCAGCAAAGTCTAAAGTAATCTAATTCTATCATCTCATTATATAGGGGTCAAAAATAGATCTTTATCAAAGATCTGGACATGAAGCATGAATAAATACACTTGCATTGCATAGCATGGTCAAATACAAATTCAGTAACATTACACATCATATTCTTATTAATCTAAGAATTTGGAGCTTCATTCCCATACTTCAAATAATATAATATAATTTCTTGTTTGACTGGTTATTTTCTAAACATAAGGTCTTTAGTTAAAATTACAATGTATACAATTCTATACCCTAAAAGATCATAGTTTTTTTATAGAATATGACTGTTTGCGAGGAATATTTTATTGATAGGTATTTGCTAGTAAGGAAGATGAACCCAGCTAGTTTATTTTCTTGCAAACCTCAACATGCATGTGCAATTGCACAGTTTTGAATCTCCTTTTAACTTTCCAATTTTCAACTAACCTCCACTCTTCTAAGCCAACACATATCCAAAAGAACACCTTAGAACAATGATATAATAGAGGATGTAGAGCTTCTCACCTCTTTACAAACAGAAAGTAAAATCCTCTTAAACATCTTCATTTCTTTCTACAGTGGCTACCTACAGAGAGTTATGTGCATCTAAAACATATCCAAAATAATATTTAAAAAAAAAAACTTTAAATATCTGATATTGAAAACAATATATACACTTTCAAGCTATGTTTGGTAGCTAAAATCTGAAGCTACCTTCAAAGTTAATTAGAAAAATTCACTCAACTTTTCCTTCTTTAGTTTCTCCCAAATAACTTTCTCGGCATCCAAACAAAGGATCGAGTGAAAATAACCACAAAAAAACTACCAAATTACCGAGAGTTTCGTAGGGAGATTTCGCTTCGGTCCATTTCGACGCCCTAACCATCGTCTTCCTCTGATTCAATCTCACCCAGGGCTCATATTTGGGCACGTCAGAGGAATCGAACCAAGAAGAAAGCACAGAGGGCGAAGAAAGACGAGGCTTGGAATTAGGGTTCCGAATCGAAACCCTAACGACAGATCTCGATCGAGACCGAGCTCGGTCCCTGCAACAGCACGCGATCGACGAGAACACCGCGTGAGGTCTACAAATCGTTCTCAGATTGCTCATATTTTTTTTTTTATGCTTGATTGATTGATCGTTTCGAGATCAGAATCGAATGGAATTGAAATGAAGTCTGAATGAATCTGAAGACGTGAAGGAAGTTAAGATGAATCTTGAATCTGAACGGGGAGCCTCTGTCTCATACACCAAATCCACTCTATACACACAGTTAATCATATTTATTCTTATTACAATTTTATCCCTCAGTAAAATTACTATTTTAGACATCATTATTGATTCAAAACATCTCAATGCACACATCCATTTAGAGTTCACATCTGTTGCATCGTGCACACATCCATCCAAAGCAAAACGTCTCCAAGTTTGTAGTTTCATTGAGCTAGAAGTGAAAGCAGAGTATTCGTAGCTTCTCAATGCACTTATTTATCAACCTTCCTCATTCATAGGGAAAGTATCATTGTTATGGAGGATTTGTCTTCTGAAAATCAGCAAATAAGTGTTTATGAGAAACATAGCGAAGGAAATGTGAGTTTCTCTTCTTCTTCTTTTTTTTCCCAGCATCATTCGGATAACCAGAATCGAATTGTATTATTTGGTTCGGAAATCTACTACTGAAATAAGTATTTATTTTCAAAAGTTGTTGTTCGAACAAAGTGATTAATTTCGGAAGTTGTTATCCGAACAAAATATTTAAATTCGAAAGTTGTTGTTCGAACAAAGTTAACTTTTACAACATTCAACTTCCGAAATTTTAAAATAAATTCGGACAACTACTTCCGAATGAAGTAAAAAAAAAAATCTCATTTTATATTCCAAATTTGCAAACTGCATACAAAATTTACAATTTCGAATTGCCATTAAAAAATTTTAATGTTATAATGCCATTAAAAATTTACAATTTCGAATTGCCATTAATCTTTGTAATGCCATTAAAAATTTGTAATGTTATACAAAACATGTAAGAATATGTGTCAACTCAAGGAAGTCAGGTTTGCGCGGATTTTGTGTTGGATTGCACTACTCAATTCACAACTGAACATGTTCACTCTACGAAATTATAATGATTATGTTTCGAATTGCTCACCAAATGTAAATGTTTGATAATATTTATTTGACTTTGTAGGTATTCAAAAGTAAGGATGAATTGCTCAACTAGGTACGTGAAGTTGGAAAGATAAATGGTTTGGACATTGTAATCAAAACATCAGACTATGGTGGAGGGAAAAAAAGACCCAGGATGTATCTTGCTTGTGAGAGGAGTGGCCAATATAGAGCGACAAAGAAGTTAAAACATGATGGCAACAATACATCAAGAATAACCGGTACGAAGAAGTGTGGTTGTCCTTTTGATATGAGGGCTCACAGGTTTACCACATATGATGAATGGACATTGACTGTAGTATGCGGATTGCATAATCATCCACCTGCGGAGCACCTCGAGGGACATTCATATGCGGGGAGGCTATCAAAGGATGAGAAAGCATTGTTAATGGATATGTCAAAGAGCATGGTTCGGCCAAAAGAAATCCTAGTAACCTTGAAACAGCGAGATGCCCTCAATATAAGCACACTTAAACCATTTACAATGTACGCCATCGAAATAGGGTGGTACAGAGAGCTGGAAGATCACAGATGCAACACTTATTGGGTGAATTGGCCAAGTATAATTACATTGAGCGCCATCGGTCTGAAGAGTCCACGATGACTGTGACAGACTTGTTTTGGGCACATCCTACCAGTTTGGACTTATTTCGGTCTTTCCCACGTATATTAATTATGGATTGCACATATAAAGCCAACAGATATCGTCTTCCTCTTTTTGAAACTATGGGAGCGACATCAACTGAAATGACATTCTCTGTAGCTTTCGCATACTTACAATGTGAGAGGGTCGATAACTATGTATGGGTGTTAGCTACATTGCGTGATGTCATGGATGGTTTTATTGTGCCAACAATTATTGTTACTGACAGAGAGCTAGCCGTGATGAATGCCATACAGAAGATACTCCCGAGTGGCAGACATTTATTATGTCGTTGGCATATCAGTAAGAATGTATTGACCAAATGCAAGAAAATGTTTGAGACACAGTAGAAATGGGAGAAGTTCAACCCTGAGTGGAACTCTTTAGTGTATTCATCTTCTGAAATTCAATACGATGAGCGTCTTAAATCATTACTTAAGGAATTCAATAGTTATCCTGATTCAGTCAAATACGTCATGGATACTTGGTTGGTTCCTTACAAGGATAAATTTGTGGCGGCATGGACAGACACGTGTATGCATTATGGCAATGTTACAACGAACCGGTAAGGTTACTTTTCTTCAATATGTTATTAATAAGTGCCATGTACTTGATTTTAATTTGACTTACATTGAATTGAATAGGGCTGAGAGTGCACGTGCAAAACTTAAAAGACAATTGGGTTTATGTCAAGTCTCATTTCAGGCATCATTTGAGAAAATACACAGTCTACTTGAATTGCAACACACTGACATCAAGGCTTCATTTGAGAAAAGTCTAACTATTGTGCAACATCAATTTAAACCTTCTTAGTTCAGGGAGCTACGGGGTAATGTGTCTATCTTTGCATTGGAGTATTTGCTTGTAGAGAGTAAGAGAGCCAATTCCATTGGTATTGATGTTGAAGCTTGTGGATGCGTCCTTCGCCACACTCATGGTTTACCTTGTGCCCATGAGATTGCTGACTACATCATCATCCTATACCACTTGCTACCATACACATCACAGTGGAGGCAACTTCATATCTCCATATGCAAGAAAGAAGAGGAAACGGAGGTGAGCTGTCATGCAGAAGTAGAGTTGTTTGTGAACAAGTTTAATGAAAGTGATAGAACCATGCGGTTGGAGCTTTTGAAGAAGTTGAAAGAGATTGTATATCCGGGAAGCACTTTTCTTGTTAAGCCGGAGGTGAAGCCCAAAACACGTCATCGAGATCATAAGAAGATCAATGTTTCTACCCATCGTAACCCGTGTGTATTTGAGTTGGTGCAATCTGGACATGATTCCTTCTCACATAGGGACACTCAAATCACTACATTAACTTCTACTCTGCAAACCAATAAGAAGCAACATGTTAAGGGAAAGGAGAAGGTGAATCCGAAAGGAAAGGTATACATTACTAGAACAGTGAAAGCTGGTGCATATGTTGATGTTTTCCCTTCTGGGTTGAAACCATACATTAAGTTTGTCAAGGATGTAGCTGCAGATGGGAATTGTGGTTTTAGGGCTATAGCTACTTCAATTGGTCATACAGAAAATGATTGGGCTCAGATTAGGCGTGATCTGTTGGGTGAGCTGCACACACACAAAGAGGAATACATTACACTTTATGGGTCCTACGAAAGGTTTGAAGAATTGACAAGCATATTGTCATACTTTGAAGATAGTCCTGGATACTCACATTGGATGACTATGCCAGACATGGGGCATCTTGCTGCATCGTGCTACAATCTTGTGTTATACCACTTGTCATTACACCAATGTCTCACCTTTTTACCTCTTAGAATAGTGCCAGTACCTCAACTTGATAGACGTGAGATTGCCATTGGGTTTGTCAACGGAAATCATTTCGTCCAGGTATAACATAAACTTATAAATTGGATTTGTGCATGTACAAGAAGTTATGAGCTATGACCGCTAACTCAATTGATATTTGGTGCAGGTTTTGTTACAGCCAGTCCATCCAGTTCCTCCTATAGCCACTAATTGGCGAAAATATCGTCACTCTTGCGCTGTCAACTGGGATGATGCATATGTGCGTCGCATTCAACATTTCAAGGACATTATTCATGATAATGTAGCTACTCGAGAGACATTTGATATTGTTGATGTCGCATGACACATGTATGCATTTGATAATGTCAGAATTATGGAAGAAATTAATGGATGTGTTTTTGATGTTGATGTGTTTTGTTTTGCAATCTGGATTGAATGTTATCGACCATTGTTACCATTCCATTGTAATAAGAAAATATCATTTACAAAATCAACGACCATTGTTACCATTCTATTCTAATAATAAAATGTCATTACAATGTCATTACAATACCGTTGTTGCCATTCCATTCTAGTAAGAAAATATTAACCACTGTTACCATTACAACAATATCATCTTACAAAAAACACTCAAAAAAAATTCAACAACTAACAAATAACATGTCACGAATCAGCTGTATGCCTATGCCTAGGCCTACGACTGTATGTCAATGTCGAAGATGGAAATCGACATCCAGTATAACTAGGTCCAGCAGAACTAGGTCCAGCTTCGTCAATGTGCCAACCTTGAAGGACATGCGTCATACTCTCGATAGCCTAGTAAAGTCGATAAGGATGTCGAATCCCCTCCTCATAACCAGCGTCAATAATAGGATGTGAAATTTGCAGTGCATGTGCAATACGCTGCATTTAAAAAGAATATCACATTTTAGGAAACATATCAGAAAATAAAAAGTAAGTTACAAATGCATAAGAGAGGATAATATATTACATCGGCATGTTGGCTGAAATCCTGATGGTCATGGACACGCGGTTCATCAGTGTGCTCAACATATAGGTGCGTGATATTCTTATACCAATCCATGTAACCCGGTACACATTCCCAAGGCTGACGAACTGGTGTGCTCCTTCGTTGCTCAGATAACACGTGGTTATCCCAAGCCTCCCAGATCTTATCCAAGTATCTATACATGACTGTATATCGTGCAGATATGTTGTCTCGAGCACTACGATTAGGAGCTAGCGGTGCATTTGGGATGGTTTGAACCCTGCCAAACTGCCTTAGAACTCTATCTGGATGATAGGGTTCAACAACGTCTAAGCACTTTAAGCATCCATGATAGAACGTAACTGGGTTACATGGATGCTGGTCTCTGCAGCTGTGGTATGGATCCCAAATAACCTGTAAACGTAAAGTGTTTTTGAATTAAAGTATATAAAGGGTAAGATAAATGGAAAGTGTTAAAATTATCTCAGGATGAGTAAACTTACATCAGTAGCTATCAAACTGTCAAGCTCGGCTCGAAAAGATTTCAAATGATCAATGGAGGAACCCGCCTCTCTCCTAGATGCCTAATGGTACACATGTGGCATGTCTTCATCATAGCCCATGTTCTGGTGAGGTCGGAATGCTCAGAAGTGCTCATAAATCCACGCCTCCAAAAGAGTCATATAACCACCCATCTACTTAACCCAGGACCGGCTAGCATACCCCAACTGTCTGTATAAAAATGCTAATGCAGCAGCACCCCAGGCGTAAGTATGAATGGATCCTAAATCCATCAATAAGCCAAGGTAAACAATAGGAATCCTACCGCCACTCTTGTCACTGAAGAGTGTACATCCCAACAGAAACAACAAATAAGCTCTAGCAGCGCACTGTATAGCCTCACCGGGGTCTGAATCTGTGACACCGGCAAACTGACTTCGCAACCATTCAAGCCTGACTAAATTGCCACTAGCAGTAGAAACCTCTTCATACGCTGCACGTTCAGCCGCCACTCTTGTCACTGAAGAGTGTACATCCCAACAGAAACAACAAATAAGCTCTAGCAGCGCACTGTATAGCCTCATCGGGGTCTGAATCTGTGACACCAGCAAACTGACTTTGCAACCATTCAAGCCTGACTAAATTGCCACTAGCAGTAGAAACCTCTTCATACGCTGCACGTTCAGTAATTCCCAAGCCATAAACGAGTAATGTAACTCCATGATGATCTGTCACATCTGGTACGCTGACTGATTTGCCTACAATGGGAAGGCCAAGAATAATGCTAACATCATCTAGGGTCAAGGTCATCTCACCAATTGTCATGTGAAATGTGTTCGTCTCAGGTTGCCATCTCTCAACAAAACTGGAGATTAAAAGCTTGTTGACGAACCGACAAGTGCAACGAGCTAACTGTGACAGCCTAGACTGCTCAATAATGGCTTTGAATCTGGTGTTGTTGTCTACTGACCACCATGGCCATGCAAGGATCTTCGAATAGTGATTATGACACTTTAAGGGCCCTCGTTCCTATAACACAAATAATATCTCATTAGAAACCACCATACAACATACACAGGAAAAAAAAAATTCATATACAAATGAATTTCACTTCTACTCAAGAATGTTTACCTCCTCGTGCCAAACAGCTGCAGCGACATGACTATTGAAACTCTACAGTATTGCTGGATCAATCGGTCCACCTGGAAAAGCATAAGTAAGGTCCTCTTCCTGGACAGGAAGAAAATCAGGTAAATAGGCATCCTCCACAGCAATGTCAGGCATATCATAACCTTGAACTCGTCTTTGGCTTCGGCTCCGACTTTGACTGGCACTGGGGATATCATTTTCTACCAAAACTGGATCACGACCTCGACCACGACCTTGACCTCGTCCTCGCCTACGCCCTCGTCCTTGTTCATGGTCTACATCAAATTCACGACGTCGTCTATTTGAAGCAGTAGGTAGGACACGATGTTGATATTCAGAATCCATATTATCTGCAAAAAATAATAAGTGTGTGTAATGAGTGTGTATAAATAAAGAATGGCCATGCAAACAAGTGTGTGTAAATAATGAGAGTGTGTGTAAAATTATAATAAGTGTGTGTAATGAGTGTGTGTTTGTAAAATTATAATAAGTGTGTGTAAATAAAGAATGGCCATGCAAACAACAATATACATGGCCATGGTGGGGAAATTATAATAAGTGTTTATTCAAGTGAAATTACTAATATGTGTTTAACAAAATTATAATAAGTGTGTGTAAATTATAACAAATGTGTGTAAAGAGGGGAATGCAAATGTGGAAATATAAGCTCCCTTCAAACAACAACAAAAGAGGGAAAAAAAAAAAGAAAACCTGTGCGGAAGTTCACAACCGAAAATACATATTCTGTTCGGAAGTTGAAATCCGAAACACAAACATAATTTCGGAAGTTGAGTGTTGTCCAAATTCAAATTTTTCGGAAGTTGACTATCAAAACAATGAAACTATGACACCCTCACCTCTGATTACTGCTAAACTGTGACTGAATATGATAAGTAACTGATTATGAGGAAATCCTAAACTGATTACATTAGTGTATTGTCTGTAAATGCATTTCTATCTGTTTGGCTACTAAATGATCTGTTCGTGTTTTAATTTCGAATTGCGAATTGAAGGCCTTATCGGCGGCCGAATCTGAAATTGATGCGTATTTTATGCTAATTAGGATTTATATGATTTTATGGTGGATTTAAATTGAAATGTGTTTTGGTATGATTAATTAGATTAAATAATGATAATTTACATTGGATTGAGTTTATTACAATTTTGCCATTGAGTGGCCATTTCCTGCAAAACTTGTTTGGGACTTAATTTATGTATTGGAGGCACCATTCCTTCAGCCATTTCCTTAGACAAACCGTAGAAGAGATGAGAGTGAGAGAAAGAGCTTGAGTTCATCTAGATTGGCTTGAAACTTATAAGATTTGAAAGAGAATTGCACATTTGAGCTATCATACCTTGAATTCAAGACCTAAGGTAGAGATTTCATCCTCTCATTTGTGAATTTGAGTTGTATCTTGCATGGTTCATGATGATTTAGAGTTTAAAGTCAAGAATTGGTTTAAAGAGTTGAATTTGAGGGTGAATTCATGCATGCATGTACATATTCTTGCATTTTGAGATTGTTCTTCATGAATTTCCACATGCATGTTCATGTTTATGTTATAGTCCTTGAATTCACCATAATTTTGAGCTTAATCTTGCATTGGATCATGTTTTGAAACACTAGAGTTCTTAAGAGTCCATGCATGTTATGTTTTTATATTTTTCATGAAAAACTTCTTTGAAATGGTGCTCAATTGACTTACCTATGGGCTTTGATTTTACAAATTGATCTTTGAAACATGTTATACTGTGGGTTTTCAAGTGTTTTCCATAAAATTAGCCCAAGGGGATCGAGTTTGAAGCTTTAAAATTTGAATTTCATGCTTGAGGTTCAATCTGGAAATTCCAGATTTTGGACCCACACTCGAGCATAGGACTTCACGCTCGAGCGTACACTCTGAGTCGTGCATCTTCGCTCGAGCGTGGAAAGTCACGCTCGAGCGTGAAATGCATATGCCCAGAAGTTCATGTGTTTTTACAGTCCGCTCGAGCGAGGGAGTTCACGCTCGAGCGAGGACCTGAGTCTCACGCTCGAGTGGAGGTCGAGCGTCCGTCGAGCGTGAATTGCATGCATCCAGTACTTTTCATGAAGTTTGCAGTCTGCTCAAGCAAAGAAAGTCATGCTCGAGCAGAGCTCCTTTGTCTGCATGTCCGCTCGAGCGTAGAAAGCCACGCTCGAGCGTGGACCCCTGTAACAACCCTCGTCACTGTTTACCGATTAACCACTGATTACTGCTAAACTGAGACTGATTATGATTGGTAACTGAATTGATTGAAGTACTGAACTGATTGACTGAAATCTGGAACTGAATTGATTAAGTATATCTGTTTAATTGTATGTCTATCTGTTGACTGTATGATTATCTATTCATGCCTTTGTGTTTAAATTGCGAATTGAAGGCCTTATCGGCGGCCGAATCTGAAATTGATTGATGATTTGTGATCCTTAGAATTAATGTGATTTTATGGCATATTTAGTTAAAATGTGATTTGGTATGATTAAATTAGGTTAATTATTGATAAATTGCACAACTTAGACTTAATTACCATTTTGCCATCCTTAGTGGCCACTATCTCAACATGTTGAGCCTTATTACACTTAGACACACATTTGTTCAGCCACATTTGAGAAGCCAACCGACCAAGATAGAGAGTGAGAGAGAATTAATGTGTTCTTGAGGGATTTGCTTGGAATCTTGAGGATATTGTAGGAAACTTACAACATTGAGCCTTCATACATCTAATTCAAGACCTAAGGTAGTGTAATTACCCTCTTGTTTGTGAATTGAACTTGTTCTTACATGATTCTTGTCAAATTTAGTGGATTAAGTCATGAAATAGCTTCACATGTTGAATTATAACTTACTTCATGCATACTTGGTTGTATTGATGAATCTTAAGTTGTTTTCATGGCAAATTGTCACATGCATGTCCATGTTTTGATCATAAACCATGATTTCATCTTGTTTTTGTAAGAGTTAGCTCATTTGAGCTTGTATTTAAAGCTTTGGAATGATTTAAGTTCATGCATGTTGCATATTCTTCATATTCTTGAAAATTGGTTTGAAATTGAGTTGTTTGAAACACCTTTGGGCTTTGATTTTACAATTGATCTTTGGAATCATGTTAAACTATGAGTTTTGAGATGTTTTTTGGAAAATTGGCCAAAGAGGATCGAATTTATGGTTTAAAACTTGGTTTTGAGCTTGAGGTTCAAATCCGAAATTTCCAGAATTTGGACTCACGCTCGAGCGGGGTGACTGGCGCTTGAGCGTGGAAATCGTGCTCCCAGCATTTTGTTCTGTTTTGAAGTCCGTTCGAGCGGAATAATTGACGCTCGAGCGGGACATTGTGTCACATGCTCGAGCGGGTGTCGAGCGCCCAATCGAGCGTGATTTTCACCTATCCAACACTTTTGACTATTTTGCATAACGCTCGAGCGGGTAAGTCTACACTCGAGCGGAAACCCTTATCTGCATGTCCGCTCAAGCTGAGAAACCTACGCTCGAGCGTGACCCCTGTTTTGTGAAAATTCTGAAAATGCTTTTAAAGTGCATCTTTGCATCCTCATCTCATCCTAGGCATTATTAGGCCGATAGCCCCACTATTCCAGACTTGAAACAACAAGCTCTTGGTCCAAAATAATGCACAAAACAGATAAGGTTTCAAGGCTCAAAGGCGGGGTATTCCACCGAGGACTTCGAGCACCCAAAACGAACACAAGCAAGCACAATCATCGAGTACACAAACGATGACGTCCAAGTCTTAAGGTTGGTCAAAAAT